AGGGCACAGGGCCCTCCCCCGCCTTGGGGGGCGGAGGGGAGGGCGGGGCAGCACCCACTGTGCCAGCCAGCGGGGAGGGCTGGGCACCCTGAGAGATGTGGGTGTCCCTGTCCCAGCCCTCCCTCGCTTTCCCAGGGTCAGCCCAACTCGGCTTCACCTCCCACGGTGCAGTGAGCTCAGGGGATGGACTCAGATACAGGCTGTGACTGCCTTTTGCTAGAGAGAAGTGGGCAGCACACCCCATCCCTGCAGCCTGGCACCAGGGGTGCCCCACGCCCGGCTCAGCACCTCCCAGCCCAGCATTGAGCCATCCTGGGAGGCTCTGCAGCCCCCTGGCACTCATGCTGCATCCCTGCCAGCAGTGGGTACCAGGATGCTGTGCCCCTTGGGCAGTGCCAGCCCCAGCCCCAGCCAGGCCAACTGCCAGGAGGGCTGTGCAATCCAGTTTGCTCTAATCTCTCAATCAGCGAGCAGGAGTCACGCGCCCGAGCCGATTAGCACTGGGATGGGTGGGTGGGGGGAGCCAGCCCCAAGGGAGTGCTCCCCTTGGCACGGCCAAGGAGCATGGGCACCCCGAGCAGCCCAGCCCTGGCGCCACGGGGTGAGGCCAAGCCCTGGGAGGGTGTGCGTGGGACCATTCAGGTGGCACTGCTGTCATGGTGCCCTGGCAGCGCTCAGCATCCCCCGGGTTGGCACTCCAGCAGCCCAACACAGCAGCTCCCAAAAAGCTGAAGGACAAGGAGTCTCTGTGCCTGTGCCCACGCTCCCTTCACGCGGGCTCTGGCCCTTGCCGAACTGCTGCTGGCAGCGTGGAGCGCACGGGGAGGGGGCTCAGCCTGCACAAAGCCTGTCTGTGCTGCCCAGGGGGTCGTTCCTGCTCCCCTTGCCCCTGCCCTGCCCCAGCGTGGGAAGCTGCGGGCGCCTGTCCCAGCCAGGCTGCCCTGGGAACGCCACAGCCTCCGAGACGACGCAGCCAGGCACCGATAGAAACGATATTTTATTCCTTTCCCCCAGCTCACAGCACAGCACACACCAGCCCTCCAGCACAGCAGCACACTCGCCTATTCAAAAGGAAACACAATAGCTCAGTTTATTTTACAACAGTCAGGGTTTTGCCATTTTACACACCACAGGGATCTCTTTGTTTCGTGTTAACACCGACGGCACACTACGGACAGCACGGGCACTCCGACGGGACACACACCGCTGGCACTCGGGTCTGCTCTGCCCAGGAGCTCTCTGCCACGGCCAGGAGGGACGGAAGGGACATGGGACCAGAGACATGGACCCTCTGCCTGACACAGATGGGACAGAGCTGCCCAGCGCCACTGAGAGATGCCAAGCACACAGGGACATGGCCCACCCCGAAGGCAGGGCCACCACCACGGGGTGGGCACAGCAGAAACCTCTCTCAAAACCATCCTGGAGGACAAGACTCTCTTCCCAGTGCAGGGATGGCACTCTGGGGTGTTTCAGTGCAGCACTGGTGCCCCGGCAAGTGCCCACATCCAACCTGATAGTCCCCAGCCCCAGCTGAGGTTTTCCCTGCCCATGGGCCAAGATCACAGGTTTGCCTCCAACCCATGAGCAGCCACAATGTGACAATGGACACTGGGCTCAGCACGGTGCCACCATGCAAGCTCAGGTGTGTAAACCCCCTGAGCATCACTCACTGCCACTTGCTGCTGCTCCACGGGGACAAGGGGCGGCTGGAACTGGGGGGTGACACGTAACCAGCACAGGACAACACGCAGCACTGACATGGGTGGCCATGCCCTGGGCCACAGCACGGGGAGTGACAAGGCATCAGGAGGGGCTGGGAGCACCAGGAGGAGCCACCACTACCCCTTCCCTGCCAGAGACAAGCACAGACAGAACCTTTGTTTCTCTTTAGCCCTCGGACTGTGTGACCTGCCCATCTCACAGGCAGGAGCTGGATTGTGCTGGTTAGTGGGGTCACCACTGTGCCACCACCCTCTCACAGTGTCACCGTGCTGGGCACCTCACGGGCTTCTCTGCCACCACAGCCTTTCCTCACAGTCAAAGCAGCATCCCACAGATTTAACCAGGGACAGGCACAGGGAGTGCTGAGCAGGGGAGCTCCCTTCAGCCTTGAATCCAGCACCCTCAGCGAGCAAAGTGGAGCTGTGGGACGTCCCTGCCCGACTCACCCCCTACCACAGCTGCCTTTGGGCTGGCGGCACGCAGGGGGTTATTGCTGAAATGGCAAAGGGTGGTCCAGAGCCACACTAGCAGGTCCCCAGGGGGGTGTGGGATGGGTCCCCAAGCCCTGCCCAAAGCCAGTGGGGGAACCACCAGCACCTGCCAGCGTGGTGCAGGCTGTGCTGCTGGCTCTGGGCAGGGGGACAGGGGGTCCCTGCCCCACAGCCCACACTACTTGCCCCACAGCCCACATTCCTTGCCACGTGGCCCCTGTTCCCAGGCTTGGAGGGCAGCCCAGAGGGCAGCACCTGCCAGTCCTACTGAGCCCAAATCACACGCACAGCACGAGAAAGGTGAAGAGAAAGTCACGATTACAACATCAGCAACAACTAGCCCTAGAGGTAATGATCATCTCACAGCAACATTACACACCACGGGAGGCAGAGAGGACGGTGAGCGGAGTTTAGTCGGGTTAGGAAACAGAGAGCTGGTGCTGGAGCACAGGGGAACACAGACACGGCAGCGTCTCCTGAGAGGGACCTGCTGCTGCTCAGTCTCCTCGCAGGCCGCGGGCGTCCGCGCTCCCAGCGGCTGTCCTGGGGTCTCTGGGTCTGCGGGGCAGGAGAGCAGCCAGTCAGGCTGGGAGCAGCACTCACACCTTTCCCTGCATGGGCATCACAAACTGCCAGCACAGCTCCAAACCAGGACACAGCCAGGAGCTCGGGGAGCTCTGACTGCAGGCACAGAGCGAGACACACTGAGGGACTCACATCCAGCTCTCTAAACGCCCTTAAACCAACTTTGGGGTGGAGAAGCACAAGAAAAGGAAGTGTAACAAGGGAAAATACAGACAGATGCTTCCTTTTCCTGTTGGGCTGCCTGGGGACAGCCGGGACCTCGTCAGCACTGCGAGTTCCCCTGCCAGTGCTCACCCCCACACCGTGCAGAGCTGCCTGGTCCCAGCAGACAGGTCTGCTCAGAGCCCCAGTTACCCTCATCTGCAGCCCCAGCTGTCCCTCTCGCCCTGGTGCCACTGCCCACGCTGCTCTGGGACTCACCGCATGGCTCCTCTTCAGTTCTCTGCTTTCTGTGCCCCTGTTGCTGCAAAGGGAAGAGCAGAGGGTTTGCAGTGCCCACCCAGCGCTGGCTGTGACCCAGAGCAGTGGCACAGCAAACAGGGGACGGTGACCTTACCGTTCGAGGTGATCAGGGTCTCTGCCTGAGTCTCCTCGTCCCCTGGAGCCCTGCAAGGAGGAGCATGGTGAGAGTGGCTGTGAGCTGCACCCTGTCCCAGGGGTGGGATGCCCAGTGGCACAGGGGCACACCGAGGAAGGTGCCCTGGGAGCATGCAGAGCTGCTCTGCCACGCAGGAGCTCTGCAGTGGAGCATCTCCCACCTTTGAGCACTCAAAAGAGACACTCAGAGGGTGCAGCCAACTGCAGGAGGGAGCCCAGGAGGAGAGGAGCAGAAGGATTCTCCAAGGAACATGCTCCCCACTATGCTGCCCTCACTCACCTGGGCTTGTGGCTGAAACTGCACCTGCACCTCCTGCCTGCAAGGGGAGAGAAACCCTGTGAGTGTGGCCAAAGGGGAAATGGGACATGGCCCTTCCCAGTGCCTCCCACCACAGGGAGGGTCCCCACTGCCCCAGCCTGCCAGCCCAGCATCTGCCAGGTCCCCAACTTACTGAGTATAAGGAGAATGCCAACAGTGAACAGGACCACAGCAAACACCAGCCCCCCGATCCTCAGGCTCTGGTAATCTGTGGGAGGAGGCACAGGGGCTCATTCCTGATGGGTTCAGGGAAGGGGGGCAGCTCTTTTGCTCCCTATGCCACAAGCACACACATCCCCACCAGCACATCCATCCCCACACACAGCAATGCTCACCATAGTTAAAGGGGTCCTCCTCCTCCTTCTCCTGGGTGGCCGTGGCCACTGGAAAAGAGCAGAGTAGGGATGTGAGGTGAGTGAGCCCCAGCTGAGCCCTGGCAGCCCCTCAGTCAGCACAGGCTCCCCCCTGGGGCTGCAGGTTCCCAGGGCAGCCCCACTCCAGCCCCCTTGGATCCGTGGGGTGGCTGTTCCCAGGGTCCCACAGCCTTTTCCCACACTGCATGCAGGAAACACTTGGCACCTACCGTCTGCCACGGCTGCTGGAACCAGCAGGGAACACAGGAAGATGAGCAATGCCTCCATGGCCACTGCAAGAGAGGGGAGAAGCATGTGTCAGCACCCAGATGGCTCATGGAGGGAACTGGGATGGCTCAGGGGGCACCAGGGGACTACAGACAACCCTGGACCAGCCCATGCCATGGGAGAAGGAGCCAGGCTGGCCCTGGGGAACACCCAGGGAACAATACCAGTGATGGCACACTGCCCCCAGCCCATGGGTCATGGTGACTCACAGGCACCATGGAAGGGAAGGCTTTGAGTACACAGACAGACTTTTTGTGGGGTTCTGCAGCACATTTTCCACCGTCTCTGCACTTGGCATAGATCTCAGTGCAGTCTCGACTTTGCTCTGCAGGCAATGGGGCCAGCATCGGGGCTGTGATCTCTTCATCAAGGTCAATACTGTGCCCTTCACCCAGAGCATACTTTAATTTGTCCCAATTAGCATAGCAATTACAGCACACTCCTACAATGAGGCCAGTGGCCCTGGTGGGATGTGAGCTCAGAGCCACACTTGCCCTCCGGGCTCCCTACAGCAGCAAGGGGAGACCATAAATACTCAGTGTCTCCTCCAAGCTGAGCCTGTCCCTGTCCCTTCGCACACTTGGCTGGGGCACAGACCCTTCTCCCAGAGGTGCCACCCTGATGCTGTGGCCAGGCTATGTCACTCCCTGCCAGCTCGGGCAGAGGTGCATGTCCCAAACTGCTGTACCCATTTGGGATGGGTCAGACCTCACAGCTGGCACTGACCACTGCTCTGCCAAGGGAGGGCACTGCCAGCACACACAGCACCAATTCA